GGCTCAGAAAGACCCAGGTTTGAATCCTGCTCCAGAGGGAAGTTCTATCCCCTCTCTGTGCCAATTTGTAAAAGGAAGGGATTGGGTGGCTGGCTTCATCCACTGGGCTGTGTTAGCCCTTACTGAGTCAGGCAAGGCAGGCCTTGCTCTTGGGTCTGGGAGGCGGCTGGAAATGAATTCTCTTTGGGTAATTTGGGCTTCATTGCGCTGTGTGAGAGTGTACGCTCCCCTTTTCCCTCAATCCTTGTGGAACATAAGCTCTCTGGGGCCAGGGAAGCCTTCGCTGTCTTGGCATCTCCAGCTCTCAGCTCAGGGCCTGGCACACGGGAGGTGTGCCTGCCCTCAGGGGGCATACAGTCTGGGACCAGAGCAGAGACCGTCCAGGAATGACTGGCCCAATGACGAGTTCAGTGGGGGCTGTGGGAGAGGGAGGTCTGGGGGAGGGTGTCTGGCAGAGGCCTCTTTGGGATGGAGAATCAGAGAAGGCTCCCCAGAGAAGGCCCCAGAACTGATTGAAGGCAGGGGTGCTTGGCCAAACGGGAGGGTGGCTGTTGGACGGGGACGGGGGTGATGGTGCAGTGCAGGGTGCCTTGTCTGTGGGACTGGGCCGAGGCAGCTCCCATAAGGAGTAGCTTTGGCGAGGCGCCAAGTCTTTGTTTCAAGGTCATGGTACTCACTACCGCATGGCGCCTCTGATTGAAGGACAGACTTATTCAAAGGCTTTGTTCATCTCGCAGGGAGGGCCGGTGGACACCTTGAGCCAAGTGTGGAGAGAGCAGCAGGAGGGAGGGTGGCCCACTGGGGACGGAGCAGCACAGAGGTTACTCACTCGCTGCCAGGCCCTTGTCTTCCCTTGGGGCTGAGGTGCTGAAGCCAAACCCCATCCCAGGAGAGCTGCGGGCCTCACTGCCCCTCCGGAGCTCCGCCATCTTGGGGTTTCACAGGCTTGCAATGGAGCAGGCCAGAGGCCCGTCTTCAGTCTTTGGGTCAGGCTGTCTGGATGAGGAGAAAACCAAATCTCTGGATGAGAGATGCTCCCCAGGCCGTACCACCGGTAGAGAGAGCAGGAAGGGGAAATGGAGGAGGGAGCCCCTCTGGTCTGCTTTGGACCCTCCTCCTAGTGTGCAAACATGCCCGGCCAGGTGCCCCCCCCCCAGGAGCATCCACTATTTACCAGAGGGAGGGGCAGAGTGGCAAGCCCCACCCTGGCCTCTCCCTCCCAGCTCATGAGCTGGGCTGGGGCAGAAGCCAGCTCCTGGGCCTACATAAGGCTCTTCCTGGGTCTCTGCCTTTGCAGAGGCCAGTGGAGCTCAGCCACCATGGGTGCCGGCCCGTGGCAAGCCCTGCCCCTCTGGGCCCTCCTCCTGTTTGCCTCCTCCTCCAGGCAGCAGCAGCAGCCAGGTAGGGTCCTCCCCGCTTAGGGCTATCTCCTCCTGGCTGGTCAGCCTCACAACCTGGAGGGACATGTCTCCTCTGGGAGATGTCTCTCCAACCCTTGCTCCTTTCCACTTCTCAGAGAGGCACCAGTGATGGGCCAGCCATCTGCCCAGGTGATCCTTCAGGACACCCTTGTCAGCTCCATCATGACCCCACGACCCCATGGCAAGCATGGGTCCCGAGGCTGGGCATGCCAGGCTAACTAGGGCTCCCCAGGTGGTCTCAGGGAGCTGGCAGGCTTCTCCCTGGCAGGCTTCCCTCCAAGACTCCCCCAGGATGGGGAGGATGGAGGGCTGGGTTGAGTGTGGGATGGGAGGCCCACACCAGCACGGCCGAGGCTCCATCTCTATCCCAGTGTTTCTGGGTAGGAACCAGGCCCCCAGGGAGTGGCAAGGCTGGATATCTGGGTCCCCCCACCCCTTCCTTCCTGCTGATTTCTTCTATGCCTGGGGAGTGTCCACAGCCCCTTAGACTGAGAGCCAGAAGGGGCCCACCCTGCCTCCACCATACCCCCTCAGATGAGGGTTTCTGCCCCTTGGGAAGGTAGATTCCCAAAGCTGATCAAGCTCTGATGTTCATAGACTCCTCGTGTGTGCGTACGTGTAATATATATGCTGTGTGTGCATGTGTGTGTGTTACCTGTGGCAAACAGCCCTCACTCATCAGCAGAATGCCCTTGGCTCAGCAGATCATACCTTAGGGTCACTTCCACTGCCCACTGTCAGTGTTCTCTTTGCACCCCAGCCTAGGTGCTCTGGGTGGCCCTTTGGGTCCTCCTATCTGGGCTTGCTCTTGCCCAGCCCCCAGATCTATCGCCTCTGATGGCCCAGGGTCCAGCCCCTTGGGTTCTGCTCTCTACCCATCCCAAGTGACAGCTGTCCAGTCCCCTCAAGAGTCCAATCTTTGCGACAGCCCCCTGGTTCTCTCCTCTGAATGGAGGCCTTCTGGAGACATTGGCTCTACTCTCTTGAGCTAAGCCAAAGGGATGCTCTTCCCCAGGATTCCAGGCCCTGGAGGAGCTGAGCCCAGGGCCACAGTGGGACTTGCTGGTTCCTCTCCAATCAGACCATATAGGCGCCCACCCGCTCTTGCAGTGACTTCCAACAGGCCGGAATGCCGGGCATTCCTCCCTTACTGCCCCTACTTTGGGTGCTCAGCATCCTTTCATGGACTAGCTGGTGGGGGCTGAGGGTGCCCATCTTGGTCCTGGCACTGCCTCCCTGGGCAGTGTCCCTCCCTCCTGGGCCAGAATTAGTCCTGACTCAGGCCCTGTACCAACCCTCCTTGACTCCTAGGCCGTGGTAGCTAAGCACCATCTCTTTCCTGGGGCCCAGGCAGCTCCTGCCCCAGACAGGTCACCATCCTTGTCAGGAATGCGGCAGGACTGGGTCAATGGGATGGAAGGAGAAAGACTGGCAGGGAGGGAGACCACACATGTGCCTGGCTCCAAAAGACCCCAGGGAGGCAGGGCTCAATTTCTCCTCCTGAAACTGAGAGGTTTCTCTGCTCTGTGGCACCAGGGGTGGGAGCAATGATGGTGTGGCATTGAAGGGGGGAGAAGTTGCAGAGTCAGACTGTCCCAGCCTGGGCAGGTGGTAAGCTCCCCATCCCTGGGAAGTCTCTAAGCAGGGACTGGATGGCCCCTCATCAGGAATGTGGAATGATCAGACCTGGGTTTGAATCCCACTCTCTCATTATACTTGGGACCTGCCATGTTCTGGCTCAGTTTCCTTATCTGAAAAATGTCAGGTTGCCCTAGATGACCTCTGCTCTTTCTGGCCTTCAAGGTCCCCTCTGAACCTCTCAGAGCTGCTGGGACTCTGCCTGGCTGGCCGTGCACCCCAGCGTGTCAGGGGAACAAGCCCAGAACCCCCGGGGACCAGAGGCCAGCCCGTGGCTTGGTCCATGTGGCAAGAGTTCCACCAAGGCAGGAGAGGCTGTGAGCCTGTGCCTCTGGTCAGCACGGGCTTATCGACAGTGCTTCAAGGTTTGCAAAGCAGGGAAGAGAAGGCAAAGGGCATAAGCATTTATTAAGCACCTACTGTGTGCCAGGCACTGGGCTAAGCACTTTACAAATGGTGTCTTCATTTGATCTCACTCTAAGGATGGACTTTAGAACATAGAACACAAAAGACAGTCAGACCTGGGAGGGGCCCAAGCACATAGAACATGGACTGTCAGAGCCAAGAACCTAAGAACACAGAATACGGAATGTCAGAGCTGGGAAGGACCTTAGAACGTAGAACATAGTGAGGGAAGGCCTGTCCAGGAGCAGGTGAGAGGTCTGTGGCCGAGCTGGGATCTAACCTGACGTCGGCCCATTGTGGAGGCTCGAGAGGGCCAGGATCCCAGCACACTCATTTCTGGACCCCCGTTTTTCACAGGCCCAACGGTTCATGCCCTCTTCAGGCCAGCCTGGCACAGAGCAGCCTCTGCCCTAGTGGGGGTTGGCCTAGGGGAGCCGCTGGCCTTTCTTGCCCCTCTGTGGCTCTCACTGCATGTTTCCAGGGTGGGCCCTGGCCCATGGGGATCAATGCCATGGCCTCTCTGAGCCAGTCCAATGATGGCTCGGGCTGGGTGGCCCGGGGAAGGAGTCTTGGAGTTCATGTGAAGACAAGCTTCTTCTGGAAACTCTGCTGCTCAGGCCACGTGCAGCCACGGTCAAGCCACTGCCTCCAGGCCACAGCTTCCCTTCTGTCTGAGGAGGGTGCTGGGCTAGACGACTCCTAAGATCCCCTCCTGTCCCCACGAGGACCCCACTGAGGGAAAGTGCCTTGTTTCTTTGGGCTTCAGGGCAGGCTCAGCAGGGTGCATCAGAAGTTATGTGCGACTACCACACCGCTCTTTAGGAGCAGGACGAGGAGTGACCAGGGGATCTCTGCAGGCTGGGCCCGGTCTGTGGGACCCAGCTCCCCTCCCTCCACTGCCTGCTGCCTGGGCGTGGGGGAGGGAGGCCAGGAGGGAGGCCATGGAGCCTCAGCTGCCCCATCTGGGGAGAGGGAGTCAAAGAACTACAGCAGGCAGCGTCCAAGCCCAGCCCCTCTGAGCTGCCTTGGGGCAGTAGTCTGTGCTGGGCCCCCTTAGCAGGGCTCGGGAGACCCTTAAAGTGATTCCAGGCCAGCTGAGTGTATGCCCTGAGGCTCCAGGATGAGCTGAGGGGGCTTGTGTAGACCCAGAAGCTGCCAGAGATGTCAGCAGGAGGCCTGTCTGTTGTGGGAGCCAATACCACCCTCACATGTGGCACATGTGTGTGATGTGTGATGTGCGTGTATGTGCATGCGTGTGCCCATGGGGGGAGCCTGTGGCACCCAGGCAGACAAGGGCTCTCTCTCCCCAGCATCCTCAGGCAGCCTGCTCCGAATCACCGTGCCAGTGACGACCACCCTCTTGCCCATAAAGAGTGAGTGTGGGCCCCGGAGGCAGGGTCCGTTTGGTGGGCTGGTCCCTGAGTGTGGCTCGGGTGTCCTGGCCAAGAAGGCCCCTGCAACCCCAAATCCAGAGGCTGGGGGTCTCTGCTCTTACACTCCCTCCAACGGCCTTCTGCCCTACGGGGCCCCCAGAGCATGAGACAGACCGGTGCCCTGCGGGTTGGGGACAGGAGGGAGTCGGAGCAATTGAGAGACCTTGGGCAAGTCCCTGCCCCGGCCTCAGCCTCCTCCCCCACACAAAGGGGGCAGCTATTCCCTGTGATGGGCGTCAGGGCCAGGGCCTCATGCCTGCGTGGGCCCCACAGCTTACAAGCTTTCGCACAACGGCCGAGTGTGCAGCACGTGGGGCAGCTTCCACTACAAGACTTTCGACGGGGACGTCTTCCACTTTCCTGGCCTCTGCAATTACGTCTTCTCCTCCCACTGCAAGTCGGCCTACGAAGACTTCAACATTCAAATGCGGCGCTCGCCAGGGCCCAATGCCACCACGACCGTAAGCCACATCACCCTGAAGCTCGAAGGGACCATAGTGGAAATGAGTCCGGATGCCATCCTGGTCAACGGCAAACTGTGAGTGTGGCCTCGTGTGGGGCTCCTTCCCTTTGAGGCCCCAGGGCAGAGGAAAGAGGGAAGGGGGCCTGGCAACCCCACCACCCCTGCAGAGGGAAGAGGGCCCTCCCTGCAGAGGGAAGAGGGCTGCCCTCCACCTTCTCCCAGGCAGAGACCCAGCTCCATCACCACCTAGTTCTGTGGCTTTGGGCGAGCCCCCTCCTCCTCCCAGCCTTGGCTTCTGGTCAGATCAGATGCCCTCTAGGTGCCCTTTCCCCTCACTTGGCCTCAGTTTCCTCATCTGTAAAATAACAAGGTTGGGCTAGTTGATCTCTAAGGCCTGGTCTAGCCCCTGAAAGAGGTAAATAAGGTGGGGGAGCGGCAAATGCAGAAGGAGAGCCAGACCACAGCCCAGCTTGAAATGTCCCTCCCTGTAGTCGTGGAGCCTCTCTCCATGTCTGCCCCAGCCATGGGTCTGCAGGCTCCAGCTGGCAGAGGGCAGCTCATGAGAAGGCTTAGCCTGGGCTCCTTCTCACTGGGGGTCCAGTCCTTCCCCACCCCTGTCTCTTACCTCCTGAAGATCATGCTTTCTCTACAGGGTTCAGCTGCCTTTCAGCCAATCCGGCATCCTGATCGAGAAGAGCAGCGCCTATGTGAAGGTCATGGCCAAGCTGGGCCTCGAATTCATGTGGAACCAAGATGACGGGCTCTTGGTAAGGGCACCCTCCTGCCAGCCATGCTGCTGATGTCAGGGGCCCTCCTCACAGGCGGGGGTTCCTCTTGTCTGGACCTGCCTCATTTAGAGAGGAGCGATTTACTGGAATGGTGCCCTTGGGGGCGTGGAGGGAAGCGAGGAGATGAGGTGGATCATCCAGACAAGGGCAGCTCTGTGCTAGGGAAGGGTGTGGACACAGTGGAGGACAGGTTAGAGGATGTGGGGAGGTGGAGCCTGGAAAAGACAAGGCTGGGACACAGGAGAGCTGCCTTGGGGTACATGTGGGAGAGGGATTATCCTTGTTCTGCTCAGCCCCAGAGGGCAGAACCAGGGTCCATGCTGAAAAGGACCCAGGAGGCCTAGATTTAGGCTTATTAGAAGGCAAAACTTTCAGTCACCACCTCCACGTGGAAGGGTGAGGTGGGGAGGGGAGCTCCTCCCCTTTGGAGGCTTTCCCACAGAGGGGACAGATACCCACTTGTCAGGGAGAGTGTGGAGTGGTGCTCGGGCAGCTGGGTTTGGCTGGAGGCCACTGGGTTCCCTGTGGCTCATCCTCGTGACAGAGCCCTGGGGAGCTTGTCTGAGGGATGTGATTGGGAGGCTGATGAAGGCTGGGCTCCTACCCCAGAAGATTTGGTGGGCAGAGCCCACCCAGGGTGGGAGGTTCTGGCCCTAAAGCTGGCCCTGACTCCCATGAGGAAGCCGCGTCAACTCCTTCCAGCCCTCTGGTGGGTCCAGACCCCTGGGGCCTTGGGCTCCCTCTTCAGAAAGGGCTTCTTGTCCAGCCTCTCATTCTACTATGGCTCACCTCTCAGGGAGGCCGGGCCACGGCAGGACGCCCTGGGTCTTAGCCCTGCCTGCATCCTTCATCTCCTTTCGTTGTAGCTGGAACTAGATGCTAAGTATGCCAATCAGACCTGTGGCCTCTGCGGGGATTTCAACGGTATCCCCACCTACAGCGAGTTCTTCTCCAACAGTAAGGAAGCCTCCAGGACCCAAGGCCTCTGTTTCTGGGGCTCCAGGGAGGGATGGGGAGGAGGGAGGACTACATCCTTTCTCCCCCTCCTCGCCCTTCTCCAGTGGGTGGTGCTCAGGGTTATACTCTGTGGAAACCGAGGCTGAGCACTGCTTGCTTCCTATAGACATCAGACTGACAGCAGTCCAGTTTGGTAATATGCAGAAGATGGATGGGCCCACAGAGCAATGCCAGGACCCCCTGCCAACAGCCCTGCACAACTGCACAGCTGCCTTTGTAAGACCACCCTCATCAGAGGGACGCACCCCTCTCGTGGTCCATCCCCGGGCTCCTTTGGGACAGATGAGGGAGGGACCGGCTGGTGAGCAGGGCAGAAAAGGATGGTGTTCTCACCAGCAGGGCTGGCTTCCTGTTTCCCCAGGATATATGTGAGACCACCCTCAACAGTACCCCCTTCTTCACCTGCCGTACCCTGGTAGATGTCAGCAGCTACGTGGAGGCCTGCCGCCAAGACGCATGCCTCTGTGACGAAGGCCAGCACACCTCCTGTATCTGCAGCACCCTCACAGAGTATTCCCGGCAGTGCGCCCATGCTGGCGGGCAGCCCATGAACTGGAGGGCCCCAGACCTGTGCCGTGAGTAGCTCTCCCCCCAGCCCCAAGGCCCGGGAGCCCTTACGCCCAACCGTCCCTGGCCCCTCAGGAAGGGCATTCAGCTGAGGACCTTCTGTCTCCTCTTATGTCTTGTTCCAGCCAAGACCTGCCACTTGAATATGCAATACCACGAGTGCGGCTCCCCCTGTGTGGACACCTGCTCCAACCCCGAGCAGTCAGCAGTCTGTGAAGAACACTGCATGGACGGCTGCTTCTGTCCCCCAGGTGAGTGCCTGTCACCTCCACCGCCTCCCCTGCACACAGACAATACCGAGGACCTCATTGTCCTGCGCCGAAGAAAGCGTGAGTCTGCTTATGCAGTGCTGCGGCAGGGCCAAAGCTGGCAGTGGTCTATGGGGCACAGGGCCATCTGCCCCTGTGCTGGGGCGAGGTGTGGGGGCCATCCTGCCCTGAGGAGATCATCGTCTCTTCAGAAAGAATCTTGAGTCCGACCCATGCCTGGCCAAGAATCCCCTCTCCAGTGTTCCTGACAAATGCTTGTGCAGCTTTCGCTCAGAGCTCTCCAAGGTGGGAGCCCCCACCCCCACCTCCTGAGGCAGCCCCTCCTACGCTAGGACAACTCACTTTGTGTCAAAATTTTCCCTGATGTTTGATTCACTTTAACTTTGTTTAGGAGATGTGTGTGCGTGCGCACGCGCGCGTGCACACACACACACACACACACACACACACAGAGACAGAGACACAGAGACAGAGAGACAGAGCATTGATTGAGTGCTTACGAATGGTATGAGTGATGTTGTGGTCACCTTCCTTATGTCCTGCTCCTGAATGGGTCAGCAGTTCCACAGAATTGAGCCACAAAGGGTATCTGAGGGGCAGCGGCCCCCGACTTCCATCCCACCGGCCTCGAGGAAAGGACAGGGTGCTGGACGCAGGCTGGGCGTATCTGGGGCCCCTTTGTCCCTGCTGAGGGGCGAGGAGGAGGGGCCGGGCAGCAGAGCACCAAGGCTCCAAAGCAGTCTCTCTCTCGGCTTGTTTTAGGAACCGTCTTTGATGACATCGGCAGCCAAGGCTGTGTCCCAGTGAGTCAGTGCTTCTGTGTGCACAACGGACAATCCTATGCCCCCGGAGCCTTCCGCTCCACCGAATGCACCAACTGGTGAGTGAGCGAGTGTGTTCTGGGCAGTAGCTGCCCACGGTCACAGGGAAGTTCACTGAAGTGGGAGTCTAGAGACTTGAGTTCAACTTCCACCATCGACATTGACCAGCCTTGCAACCATGGGCAAGTCCCTCCACCCCCAGCATCTCCATGGATTCAGAGATGGCAGGGCCTCTGGTGGCTTCTGGTCCACCCGACCAGCAACCACCAGAGTCAAGGTTGGAACTCCACCCTCTGATTCCAAATCCAACACTCTTTTTTGCCCCTGCCTTACCTCCACTTCCCCATCTGTAAAATGAGGACAGCCAGGCTTGCTCTGGAGAGGCACGTGCTCAGAGATCCTTTGAGCACTTTGGACCCGAGAGGCTCCCAGCTGTGATCAGTGTGACCCCAGAGCTGGCGGGGCTCAGGCTTTCCAGGGCCGCGGCTGTCTGCTCTGAGCTCCCCAAAGGCTGCACGGGCTCCACCGAGAAGGTCCCTGGGGATGGTCCTTTGGGGGGAGATGGCAATGCTCCCTCCCTTCAGGTGCGTTGGGCTCCTGAAAGTCTCCCTTGTCTTTCTAGCACCTGCTCTGGAGGTCAGTGGAGCTGCCAGGATCTCCCCTGCCCCGGTACCTGCTCCGTGACTGGTGGCTCCCACTTCTCCACCTTTGATGAGAAGCATTACACAGTCCACGGGGACTGCAGCTATGTCCTGGTCAAGGTAAAGACCCCCACCCCCAACACCAGGAGCAACTTCAGGAAGAGGGGGCTAAGGTGGGGTGGAATAGGGCAGGGCAAGCACCCTTGGCACCATCCAGAGGCCTGGGGGGTAAGGGAGGAGACTGCTGTGTGGAGCTCAGGGGGCCTCAGAAAGGCGAGCTCCTCCCTTGTCTCTCTGGGACACTCCTCACTGCCAAAATGAAGGGCCCAGATTCTGGTCTCCAGGGCTGTCTTGCGTCCTGGGCTTCTGTGAGGGAGAGACGTTAGGAAGGATGGCTGGCCTGTCCAAATCGCCCGTGATACTGAGCTGGGAGCAGTAGCTAAAATGCTGGGTGACTAAGTCAGGGCCCCCAGGGATCTGAACAAACTCCAGCCTGGGCTGAATCTAGAAAGGTGGGAAATGTAAAGTCTGGCACGGATTCAAGTAATCAACCTCACAAGCACAGGATGGGGATGCACACACCACTAGATAGCAACTTATCTGAAAAGTGTCTGGGGCATAAGTGAATTCCTTAGAGCTGCACCCCCGCACCCAAGCTGGGACACTCTCAAAGGAAGTATCCCACAGCACACGGGAAGCTCTCCCTCCCCCTTGTCCCGATTCCACCTGGAGCCCATGTGGACTCCAGGAGGGAGTTCCCAAGAACTCCCTCTTCTCTCCTGGAGCTTCATCCCTAGACAAGTTGAGGTCTGCTTTGTCTAAGGCATAAGAGTTGGACCCAACTGCATTGGAGGCACCTAAGACAGTTTCTGCTCAGAAACCTCGCATGGCAGTGCTAATTTGGGACACGAGGCATCCCCTGTGGTTGACTGGGGTCAGGAAAGTGGGATCAGAGGCCAGCCTCTGGCCAGCTCTCTCCAGCCCAGCCTCACTGCCCAGGGCCTATGTACCAAGGGATTTTCACAGGCTGTTCTGGGGGCCTTTCCATTCTGCAGCCCTGTGATGACAAGGCCTTCACTGTCCTGGCGGAGCTCCGCAAGTGTGGACTAACTGACAGTGAGACCTGCCTCAAAAGTGTGTCCCTCAGCATCAGTGGTGGACAGACAGTAAGTGTACCCCAAGCCGAGGAGAGGAGATGAGGGGTGAGGATGAGGAAGGAAGTGCATATGCACTGCTCTGGGGGAGTGAGGCCCCCAAACCTGCTCTCAAGGAGCAAGGGCTGGGCCCTGGGTATCTTTAACATTCATTCCTGTGGCCTCCAGTGGTTTCAGTGATTGCCCCAAGGTTGACTTCTCCTTCCATGATCAGTTTAATCAATCAATCAACCATCAGCGTTTATTTAGCACCTTCCCTGTGTCAACCAATGTGCTGAGAGGCTGACTGGAGACCCCTGGACAGGGGAGGCTCTCCTGGTCTGGGGAGGTTCCCATCTGAAGGGTTTTATCCAGAACCCCATGCAGAAAGAGAGCCATGTGTCTGCCAGACCCCACGGCCATCTCTTACCACCATGTCCCTGCTCCCTTTCCTGCCCAGGTGATCGTGGTCAAGTCCACTGGGGAGGTGTTTGTGAATTCTATTTATAGCCAGCTGCCTGTCTCAGCAGGTGAGTGAAGTTTCATCCCCTTAGTTCTCCCAGCAGCTTCTCAGGAGAGCAGGGCCATGACTCTCATGGCATAGGAGAGTGTGGGTGGATGGCTGGCTGAGGAGCTTCCCCTGGTCCCATGCTGACCATGCCTTCTGTCCACAGGCAATGCCACCCTCTTCAGGCCTTCGTCCTCCTTCATCATTGCTCAGACCACCCTGGGTCTGCAGCTGACCATCCAGCTCATCCCTATCATGCAAGTCTTTGTAAGACTGGAGCCATCCCTGCGGGGGCTGACCTGCGGTAGGTAGAGGATAAACTCCCCTCAGTCCTTCCTGATGGCCCTGGAAGATGGATGGCCTCATCCTCACTGGGCTCGCTCCTTCCAGGTCTCTGTGGGAATTTCAACAGCATCCAGGCTGATGATTTCAAGACCATGAGTGGGGTGGTAGAAGGCACGGCTGCAGCCTTTGTCAACACCTACAAGACACAAGCCAACTGTCCCAATATCAAGAATCACTTTGAGGACCCATGCACACTCAGTGTGGAGAATGGTAAGTGGGCTTTGCAGGGGTGGGGGTGGGGGTGGGGGTGGGGGTGGGGTGGGGGGAACCTGTATTGCCCAACACTCAGACCTCACCCTGGGGAGAAGCTGGGGGATGGGGAAAGGGACCAGCTCTCCATTGGTACTGGGAGCTCACAGGTGATGAAACTACCCCTATCAGTGTGGGTGGGCTCCTTTTTGGTGACACTGAAAGCCCTGAGGGTCCCTAAGAGCCTTGCCCAGGGTGATCCAGTCAGCATGGGTCAGAGGCAGAGCTTGAATTCAGTTCTTCTTGGCACCAGCATCAGCCTTCTCCCCTTGCACTAGGCTGCCGATTCCTGAAATACTGCCAGGCTGTCCATTGTACCTGCATGCAGGCCTGGGGGGCTGGTTATTTCACTGAACCACAAACTCTCAGGGCAAGCAGGGCCCTCATAGATGTCAACCCCCTCCTCACACCCTGTCTGAGAGAGGACACTGAGGGAGCCCAAAGAGGGAGTGTGGCTAGGGTCACTCAGCGAGTCAGTGGGGAAGTGGGATGAGAGCCTAGCCCAAAGCCTTCTCTTGGAGCTCCCCTAAGTCTAGCTGATTTGTAAGACTGGGGTCCTATACATTGGGCATGTGATGTACATATATGATCCTCCCAGGACTTAGCATGTTCACAGAAAATTAAGAGCAATGGGTCAGGGAAGAATCCAGGGATCAGGAAGAAAGATTTCTTTAAAAATAACAAACATTGAATAGGGGAAAATGTAATGTCTTATACTTGGTTTTAAAAAAAACTTAACTTACAATAAGACTAAGAATGAGTGACTAAATAGCAGCTCATCTGAAAAAGATCTGAGAGACAGTGGACCCCCAAGCTCAATGTGTGCCCCTAGGGCAGTGTGATGCTGCCCTCTTGCTCTGTGCCCAGGGGCAGAGCCTCTGGGAACTGGGAGGTGGCAGGCCTTCCATTCTCCACCTGGGCCAGAACCTGTTGAGAGCTAGTTTTTATTTTTTTTAAAAAATTTTTGTTGTTGTTGTTTTTAACATTTATTAATTTATTTATTTTTAGTTTTCAACATTCACTTCCACAAGATTTTGAGTTCTAAATTTTCTCCCCATCTCACCCTTCCCCCCACCCCAAGATGGCGTTCTGAATTACCCCTTCTGAATACCCCTTCCCCTAATCTGCCCTCCCTTCTATCTCTCCCCACCCCCTTATCCCCTTCTCCTTTTATTTTCCTGTAGGGCAGGATAGATTTCTATACCCCATTGCCTGTATATTTTATTTCCCAGTTGCATGTGAAAACAATTTTTAACATTTGTTTTTAAAACTTTGGGTTCCAAATTTTCTCCCTTTCTCCCTCCCTACCCACCCTCATTGAGGAGGCAAACAACTTGATACAGGTTATTCATGTGTAGCCATGCAAAACACTTCCATAGCAGTCATGCTGTGGAAAACTAAGTATATTTCCCTTCATCCTATCCTGTCCCCTGTTTATTCTATTCTCTCCTTTGACCCTGTCCCACCTCAGAAGTATTCACTTCTGATTACCTCCTCCCCCAAGATGCACTCCCTTCTATCATCCCCCCCTCCTGGGGAGCTAGTTTTTGAACCCAAGTATAAAGATCAACACTTCTTCCCAATACCAAGTGAATGTCCAGGAATCTTTCTGCCCAGTCTCTGGATTCATGTCTGGTCACATCAGCCCCCTCATCTGGAGGTCTGGATCCAGCTATGAGGGCCACAGTTTAGGAAACACACTAATGAGCTGGACAATGTCTTGGGGGGGGATGAGCACGCTGGGGAGGGGTCTCAAATTCATGGGATTTCAGGATCACTTAAAGGAACTGGGGGCATTTAGGCTGTGGGAGAGAAGAGCCAGGGTACATGTGAGTGCTGTCTGCATGTTTGTGAAAGACTATCTTGTGGGGGAGGTATCAGCCTTGTTCTGCTCAGCCCCAGATGGGCTATACCATCAGGGGCCACTCCGGAACAATGGGGGAAGCTGCAAAGCGGGGTCAGAATGAACTGCTGAGGTGGGAGAGCTGTCCCAGCATGGAAAGGGCTTCCTGGGGAGGGTCTCATAGAAGCCTGGGTTAGGGACAGTGTACAGGGATTCTCAGGCAGGTATAGGCTTCATGAGATGCCTCTGGCATGGATCCTGGGATCCTGGGGCTTGCATGGGTACATACTCTTGGGAGGCTTGAGGGATTTGTGAGCTGCAGCCCCCAACAAAAAGCGCCCTGTCCTTTTTGTCTGCAGAGAAGTACGCACAGCACTGGTGTGGCCTGCTTACGGACCCACAGGGACTCTTTGCCAAGTGCCATGCAGTGGTCAGCCCTGCGCTTTACCATTCGGTAACTACCTGCCAGGCATCTTTGGGCTTCAGAGGAAAGGGAGGAGGACAGGGAGGGAGGGGCCCAATGAGAAGAGCCAGAACCCCTCCCACCCCCCCCCACGTGCAGAGTTCCTCAACATTCCCCAAAGTCTTTCCTTGCTCGTACCAGCCTAATGGAGCAGGGGCTCTGAGGCCTTTCACCCTCTGGTTACATCTGAGGACATGAGGAACATGACATATTACACATTGGAGGTAGAGGGACCTGTCCAAGGTCCTACAGATATCAAGGCATTAAAATGAGTCTCCAGGCCCCAAACCAAAAACTTCCCATCAGATCAGATGACTGATACAGGGACAAATTAGGCTGCTGAGGGCAAGTCACAGCTGCTGGATCAGTCTGCTCTATGCAGATGGGATCTCTCCAAACCGAGCCTGATGTCTCTCCTCTTGGACCAGACTGCTCTATCTAAGAAGCCATTCAGGGACCCTCTGGCCCCCTTCTCCCCACCCTAGCCCCTTCTCTATAACCTGGTCCTAGCCTTGGCCCTGTTCCTGGTCCTGGCCCTGGTCCTGGCCCTGTTCCTGGTCCTGGTCCTGGCCCTGGTCCTGGTACTGGCCCTGGTGCTGGCCCTGGTCTTGGCCCTGTACTTGGCCTGGTCCTGGCCCTGGTCCTGGCCCTGTTCCTGACCCTAGTCCTGGTCCTCTTCCTGGCCCTGGTCCTGGTCCCGGTCCTGGTCCCTGCCCTGGATCTGAGACCACACCCTTGAGTGCCCTCACGGTCTCCTAGGGCTGATAATAATGAACTCAAGGGTTTGGAATCAAATTGAACAATTAAGAAATCACTCCTTGGTGGTTAAGAGTGATGTGAGTCCCTTCCCCATCAAGCCTCCAAATGGCTGACTTTGGCCTGGAATCTTGGAGGTGGCTCCTGGGCCAGTCTTAGTTCTCTGGCTGGAGAGAACTGGGCCTGAGGGATTCCTGGGGTCCCCGAGGACAGCATGGGGGGCCACTGAGGGCTTTTTCTGCTCCCCAGAATTGCATGTTCGACACGTGCAACTGTGAGAAGAGTGAGGACTGTCTATGTGCGGCGCTATCCTCCTACGTGCAAGCCTGTGCTGCCCGGGGAGTGCTGCTGAGCGGCTGGAGGGTCGGGGTCTGCAGTAAGTGTTCAGGGGGCTTGACCGAGGCTACACAGAGAGGGGAGGGGCATAATCCTGTGATGGAGATGCTGTCATAACTCCCATTTTACAGTTGAGGAAACTGAGGCAGACAACGGTGAAGTCCAAGGTAACACAGCTAGCTTGTGTCTGAGGCTGGCTTTGGATTTGGGTCCTTCTGACTCTCAACTGTTCTGCCAGCTGCCCCTGCAGGGGGAATAGTCAGGGAGGCCAGAGGACTGGAGGGAAGGGGAAGTGGTTTATCCAAGACCATCCCCATGGTCTCGAGAGTTTTGAGAGGACCGGCACGCTGCCCACATCCCGACCGCCTCTGTGCCTTCTTTGTCTGCAGCCAAGACCGTGACCTCATGCCCCAAGTCCCTGACGTACCATTACAACGTCACCACCTGCCAGCCCACCTGCCGCTCGCTCAGTGAGCCCGACGTCACCTGCAGTATCAAGTTCGGCCCCGTGGACGGCTGTACCTGCCAGGAAGGCACCTTCATGGACGACAACGGCAAATGCGTACCTGCGGCCAGCTGCCCGTGCTACTACCAAGGGTCTGCTGTTCCAAATGGAGAGTCTGTCCACGACAATGGGGCCATGTGGTAAGGAGCCTGTCCCGGCCCTGCCCCGACCCTGCAACACGGAGGGAGGGGAGGTTCCGGGCAAGGCTGACTCTGCTCATTTCATTCTAGCACTTGTACCCAAGGCAGACTGAACTGCATTGGAGGCCAGGTCCCAAAGTCAGGTAAGTCCCCACACGGCTCGGTGCTGCAGTCTGCCCCACTGAGGGCCCCACCCCGGCCCTCCGATCGAGCAGCCAGACTGCCAGCCAGGGGTGGCCAAAAGCCCAGAAGGGCTTCCCCTTAGGAAGTGTCCCCAGATCGGGGGCCTGGCCAACACAGGAGTTGTAAGGGGCCCTCGAGGCCACCGAGGGCCGTCCCCTCATTTTACCGAGGGGGTCGTGTAGCTGGGATGGACTCCTTAGCTCCATGAGTGACCACTTTCTCCCTGTGGCCTGACAACCTTTGGGCATCTGCCCCACATTCCTATGCCTCAACGTGTCTGCCTGTGTGAAAGCTAAGGTGCCATCTATGAGCCCTGGGCGCAGAGCAGGATCCTCATGGCAGCCTGGCTCCAGCCCATAAGGGTGAATTCTACAGGCCAGGCAGTCCGTGGCTGCCAGGCCTGCTCACAGCTCACTTCTCTTCTCTGCCAGCCTGCGCTGCCCCCATGCTCTACTTTGATTGCAGCAAGGCCTCGGCAGGAGTGGCCGGAGCCGAGTGTCAAAAAAGCTGCCACACCCTGGACATGGACTGTGTGAGTGAACCATGAAGCTTTGCCCCCCCCTTCTCCCAGGGAGTGCCCCACCCCCACCCTGTGCTTATCCCAGGATGGGGGCCCTGCATCACCCACCCTCCCACACCAGCCTCGTGCATGTGTAAATGGGAGTGAGAAGTAGGGTCAGGCAGAAGACTTTGTGCCCCTGTACACAGGCACAAGCATGTGGACACACAGAACACCCTCACACACACACACACACACACACACACACACACACAGAACCTGCCTGGTCATGTGGCCAGCCCACCCCCATTCTCAATCCTTGCCTGCCCGGGACAGGCCTAGCACACTTCCTCATGACAGTGCCATGAAAGAGGGGGGCAGACGGACCCCTGCTCCTTCTTTCCCCACCCCTCTCCATCTCTGCTGCTGGCTGTTTTCCACTCCATGGTATCCAGGCCATCAGGAAAGCCTTAGAGCAGGACACAGGCCTGAGCTCACATTCCTCACCTCTGCAGAGCTCACAGTAGCTCCCATTTCCTTTTGACTGCTTCAAGGCTGCCCAGCACATGCAGGAAGGGGAAACCCATGGGATGTAGAGCCCAGACCTCTGACTGCAAAGTCAGTCAACTCTCTAGATGTCTTTACTTAGGGTCCTCCCAACACCTGTATCTCTGTCAGTTTGTCTGTCTGTCTTGTTCCCATCTCTAGCTTATAATGCCCACGGCTGTCTGTCCCAGCAGGATATTTTCTCACAGGGCTGATGGTCAAGCAGCCAATCTGTCAGTCTGTCTGTCTGTCAGTCTGTCTGCCTGCCTCTCTGCCTGTCAGTCTGTCTGCCTGCCTCTCTGCCTGTCAGCTAATCTGTCTGTCAGTCTGTCTGTCTGCCTCTCTGCCTGTCAGTCAGTCTGTCTGCTTCTCTGCCTGTCAGTTTTTCTGTCTGTCTGTCAGTCTGTCTGCCTGCCTCTCTGCCCATCTGTCGGTCTGTCTGTTTGCCTGCCTCTCTGTCCCTGTCAGGCTTTTGACATAAGTCTTCTCTTGCCCACAACAGTATAGTAGCCAGTGTGTCTCTGGTTGCAAGTGCCCAGATGGGCTGGTGTCTGATGGAGAAGGAGGCTGTATCCACAAGGATCAGTGCCCATGTGTCCACAATGAGGCCAGATACCAGGCTGGTGAGACCATTCAGGTGGAGTGCAACACCTGGTAGGTGCCCTCAGCTGCCCAGGGGGCCTTGGCTTTACCCTTCACACAGCAAGGCAGCTTTCTTTAATGAAGTGGTTCAGGAAGGCCTTCCAGGCAGGGTGTCCTAGCCCAGGGCCTGGGAGGGCTTTCCCTGGAAGAGAGATGCAGCCAGATTTCCAAACTCGCACCTCCCAGGACTCTTTGGTGCTTTGCCAGCCCCCAAAGAGTTTTCCTCCTGACAGTAGAGGAGGCAGGAAGGGTGTGGGTTTGAGCTGGGCCTCCCCTGACTCCAAGGCCAGCACTCTGAGAGCTGCTCCACCTCCCCAAGAAAGAAGCCAGCCCTGGCCACAGATAGCTCAGGAGGGAGGAGGCTCCAGCCTGGTCTCCCTCCTCCTGCCCCCGGTTCCCACTGTGTGACAGCCTGGCCCACATGGGCCAGAAAGGCATCTCTGACCCCCTTTCTTCCCTTCTCGCATCAGCACCTGCGAGAATCGAATGTGGCGGTGTACTCAGGAGTCCTGCTTGGCTACATGTGCTGTGTATGGTGATGGTCACTACATCACCTTTGATGGCCAGCGCTATAGCTTCAATGGGGACTGCGAGTACACACTGGTCCAGGTAAGAGGGAGGGCCCTGCTGGTCATGTCTCCCTCCCTCCCTGCCTTCCTTCCACCCTTCTCGGGACATTCATAGAGCCCCTCCCTCTGGAGGTTCCCTCCAGTGTTTCCCTACCTGGGCAGCTGACCCCAAGGGCTGAGTGGAAGGAGACTCTGGCCACTCCTAGTAATGGGGTTGAGGGTTGCCTGGGGTCCTGACCTGGTCTGGGCAGGGCATGGATTGTCCAACAGCCAGCCTGACCTTGTCCAGAGGCCTGTCCCCGGGTTGGCTCCAGTGGACGAAGGCAGACCATTTTTGAAGTGGTAGGGGACCCTGTGTCAGCTTTTGAGAGCGGCCACACATGCAGAAGCCCAGAACACATTCTGTGAGATTCCAGGCTAGATCGCATGGGCAATCTTAGTCACTCCATCTGCCACTTCCCAGACAGGGAGAACTTGAGGGAAGGAGATCTGGCATGAGAGCCCAGGTCCTTGGCAGTGGGTGCCCCTTGGGCCTGGGGCAGGGGAGGCTGGCCTTGCCCCTGGAGTCCCTTCCACTGATAGAGCCCTTCCCTCGGCAGGACCACTGTGGGAAGAGTAGCAGTGCCAAGGGGACTTTCCGAGTCATCACAGAGAACATTCCCTGCGGGACCACAGGCACCACCTGCTCCAAGACCATCAAGATCTTCTTGGGGGTGGGTCTCCATCTGGGGAAGGACTTGAGAAAGAGGCTGCCCAAGGAGAGTCCAGGGCAAGGGCTGGAGGCTGGGGCGAACCTTGGCTAGGTGTGACTTCCCAGCAAAGCCAGAAGGAGAAGGGGGCACAGGACCCCGTGGGAGGTCCACTGGAGGGCCCTGGCCCTGTGCCCTGAATGGGGCCACCATCAGGTGCTATCCCTGATGCCCTTGTGGGTCTGAGCACAGGCACTGAGCAGCCTTTGGCCTTTTAATCCAGAGCTACGAGCTGAAACTCAGTGAAGGGAGGGTGGAAGTGATGGAGAAGAAAGGTGCCAAGGGAGAGCCGCCTTACAGCATCCGCCAGATGGGCATCTACCTGATTGTGGATACCAACCTTGGGCTGGTGCTACTGTGGGACAAGAAGACCAGCATCTTCATCCAACTCAGCCCAGACTTCAAGGTACGGTGGCCGTGCAGCCAGCGCCATGACCTCGTGGATGCAGGCTACCCTGGAGAGGGCTTCATGGAGGCCAGGCTCTTGCTGGAAAATCCAACGCCTCTGTGTGTGTGTGTGTGTGCGTGCACATGCATATGTGTGCGCATGTGTGCATGCACAAGTTGCATTGTGCATACATACGTGTTCATGTGCATGGGTGTACATGCATCTGCATTGTGTGTGCATGCAGAGGTGTGCATGTGTCTACATGTGTGTATGCATGTGTGGGGATGTGCATTGGGTACATGCGTGCAGCACGGGTGTGTGTGTGTGTGTGTGCGCGTGTTTGTGCCCATGCAGACGTTTGTCAGTCAGACGCTAAGTTCAGGGCTCAGACACTGAAATCCCTACAGTGCCAGGCACTGGGGGCAGACAGAGATGAGGAAGGCAGAGTCAGTGTCCAGCAAAAGACCACGATGCCAGACAGGTTGTGTGCAGAGCCGCAGGAACCCGGGTCAGCTAGGATTCAGTCACAAAACACTTTCCTCCCAACAACCCCCTGCTGGGGAAGCAGGGACCCTCGTTTTGCAGAGGAGGAAAGGGGAGCTTTCTCTCATCAGTGAGTGGTGGGGTGCCAGGAGTCTTTCCCTGGGGCCACGCCACCTGAGAGCTTTGAGGACAAGTAGGATTTGAATGGGGGAGAATGGGTAAAGGGAGAGAGGTTGGGCAGAGCTGTGGGCCAGACCCTTCTCCAGCAGGGTGGCAAGTGCTGGCAGAGGTGTGCAGGTAGCCGGGGGCATGTTCTTCCACCTTCCTGACCTCATCCTTCCCTCTGGGCAGAGGAAGGTCTGCGGTCTCTGCGGGAATTATGACGGTAACAGCATGAACGACTTCACCACCAGGAGCCTCTCGGTGGTGGGCGACGCGCAGGAATTCGGGAACAGCTGGAAGAGCTCCCCCTCCTGCCCGGACACCGTCCCCACCAGGGACCCCTGCACCGCCAACCCTTACCGCAAGGCCTGGGCCCAGAAGCAGTGCAGCGTCATCAACAGCGCCGTCTTCGCCGCCTGCCATCCTCATGTAAGGCGGATCCCAAGGGATAGGGCATCCCCCTGCCTCCCCTCAGCATCACTGGCATTCGAGTGCACACAAGAGCCTCAATCTCTTCTTGGGGAGGGTGTGGCCTCTCTATCAGCCAAAGAACCTGAGTCCGTCTTGGGGTCACTCCCTACCCTACTCCCATAATCTTACTTTTAAAAAGAGGGCAGGAGATGAAGTCCTAGGTGACTTTGGGGGTCATCTGCATCCTGCTGGGGAGCAAGAAACACCAACGCTAACTTTTCTGTCTATAGGTTGAACCCACTAGATACTATGAGGCTTGTGTGTCAGATGCGTGTGCCTGTGACACTGGGGGAGACTGTGAGTGCTTCTGCACAGCTGTGGCTGCCTATGCCCAAGCCTGCAATGAGATCAACGTCTGCATCTCCTGGAGGACGCCCAGTATCTGCCGTGAGTCTCTGAGCCCCCGTAGGACTCAGGCAGGTGTGGCCTGCAGATCTGCTCCCCCCAAAGCTCATCTCCAGGGACACAGCAAGGGGAGAGATGCCAAGGGCTAAGGCCAAGCCAGGGCTGGGCTGCACCACAGGGTACAGTGAGAACTGGTAGGAAGAACCACCCAGTGGCCCGCCATTCCAGCTCTGTTCTCTGCATTGCTGTCCTGTCTCTGTCACCTTTGGGGTCTGTCAGAGGAGACCCAGGTCTTCTCAAGAATCGTCCCCAAGGTCAGGTTGGCATAGCAGGAGGGTTGATGCCAAGATGCCCTTACTCATGCCTTATCACACTTTGGCTCTCCCCTTCAGCTCTGTTCTGTGACTACTACAATCCCAATGGCTCTTGTGAGTGGCACTACCAGCCCTGTGGTGCTCCCTGCATGAAGACCTGTCACAACCCAAGTGGAAAGTGCTCTCACAACATCCGAGGACTGGAAGGTAAAGCAGAGGAACCCCACTCCCCAGGAAGCTCAAAGGGTTCCCAAGACCCTGGGTGCCTTGCCATGCCCACAGCATGACCTAACAACACTTTATGCCTTTGGCCTTGCCATCGCCAAAGCACAAGAGACAAGTGCCTTGTTTGAGATCACATGGTGGAGGAGGGAGAGGAGGGAGAGGAGGGAGGGGAGGGGGGGGAGGAGGGAGAGGAGGGAGAGGAGGGTGGGGAGGAGGACAAAGATGGGGAGGAAGGAGAAGAGAATGGGGAAGAAAGGAGGGAGCTCCCAAAGTCTCCCTGATCTAATACCTGCCAGGACCCCTTGCCTTATTGTCCTGTGCCTCCAAAGCAGTCCCTTCCCTAGGAAGCTAGTAGGAGCTCAGGAGCCCCTGACTCAGGGACAAGATGGACCCTGACCTCCCTGACAATTTAGGCATCATCTCTCCCTTACCCACTTTGTGTGCATGCCACCTAGAAGGCCACTGGCAGCCAGGGTGCTACAGGCTCCTGGGCTCTCCATTTACCCTCACACACAGACCAGAAGGAGTCCCTCCCTAAACACCTCCCTCTTTCTTGCTCAGTCTCTACATGATCCATCCCCAGAGCACACTCACTACATTCACTCATCCTCCTTCCAGGTCAATGATTGGTCTCCCAGACCATGGGGAGCCCTGAAAGCACTCTACCCCACACCAATCCCAGGGACTCCTAGGTACCCGCTTTCCCCAGCAGCCTCCTGGCACACTTGGATTTCTATCCCTCCCTCACCCAGTCCCACAGTCACACAAGTTCCAGACAATAGCTCTCCAAGCAGTCCCTGGGCAGGATTCACCTGTCAAATCCTATCGCTCACGTCACAAATTCTGTTGCTACAAAAACCACCTGGAAGATGTCATCATCTGGTCTCGAACTTTGGTCAGAGGTGAGGCTGGAAAATAGTTGGGTGGTCCAACAGAATTTGAGAGCAAAGTCCCCTTGTTGGCCCTGCAGGTTGCTACCCCAAGTGCCCTCCAAAAACCCCCATCTTTGATGAGGATAAGATGGAGTGTGTCCAGAGCTGTGCTCCCTGCTACATCAAAGGACGGTACTACCCACCAGGATCCACAGTACCCTCGGACAAGAACTGCCAATCATGGTAAGAGCCCATGTACTCAGGGTGGTGAATGAATGACATCTGACCCACCCAATTCTGCTGTGACTGGGATGGTCTGGAAGCCTGCAAGTCCAACAATCTTACACCCTTCATCCCGACTTGTTCCATGGGCCCTTAATAACCGCCAGCCAATGTCCATGGGCAAGAGCTCATCAGAGGCCAATGTGTCCCTCATAAGGGAGGTGCCAGAGGCAGCTAGGTGGCGCAGTGGATAGAGCACTAGCCCTGAAGTCAGGAGGACCTGAGCTCAAATCTGGCCTCAGGCCAAACACTTGACACTTACTAGCTGTGTGACCGTAGGCAAGTTACTTAACCCCAATTGTCATAAATAAAAAAGACTTTAAAAAATAAGGGAGGTGCCAGTAATTTGGAGCCTTTCTCCTAAAATTCCTGGAAAGGAGAACAAGGGGGAGCCTTGTTCATCAGTGGTGTGGGGAGTCCATCCGTGGAGGAGGTCTCATGCAGCCAAGATCCCACAGGTGACCACTCCTACAGAAATAGACTCTTTGTGGCTGGCATCCTGTCTGTGCCTGTCCTTAGCAAACCCAAGCCCTGTCCTGAGACAATGACTCCTGGCTGTGTGGTGGGGGTGGGGGTGGCGACTGGAGGATGGGAAGGCTGTTCTTTAATACAAAATTGAAGCAAATGGAAAGCAGAGCTGGTGGTGAATGACCCAAATGAGACTGGTGATTGTGGCTGCCTGTCTTGATAGATATTCAGGAGATAGCACTGAACCAGCCATGTCTGGCTCTCTTTCCCATTTTTCTCTCTGTTCTCAGCTCATGCACCGAGGCAGGCATCAAGTGCACTTATGACTCAAAGGGTAAGAGATGGGCTAGTTTTTGTGGGCATCCCCCTGGGTTGGGGCTGGCTGAGTGGCACATCAGATATTTGATGAGGTTCTGTCTCTTCTGGTTGCCAGCATGCATCTGCACTTACAAAGGAAAGCTTTTTCACCCTGGGGATATCATTTATCACACCACAGATGGCACTGGGGGCTGCATTACTGCCACCTGCAGTGCCAATGGCACTATCGAGGGCAAGGTGTACGACTGTGTCCTCACCACCTCAGCCCCCTCAACCACCTTCGCCTTCTCTGACACTACCTCAGCAGGTAAGGCCACAACCTGAGTCTGCAGTTAATCCATTAGAAACGGTCAACATGCATTCTGCTGTGCCCTCCACTGTGAATACGGAGACAGAAAGGAGATCATCTCTGTCCCCAAAGAGCTTCCTTTCTGTTGAACACAGAAATGGACTCAAAGGGATTTCAGGGCAGGGAAGGCGCTCCCGGGTCAAGGGACCAGAAAATCCTCTGGGTCACAGGCTCTGGGGAAAGGACCTGCCTTCCTTTGCTAGGTCCAGTATTCTAGAAGGATCTGAATTAAGCAGCTCCTTACTCACTTGCTTTGGGCAATTATAGCAGCATGGTTTCCCCTGATGTGTTCTCCTACATTGCCCTCTTCCCTTGAGGGAAGCTCCCTTAGCTTCCTTTATGAACGTGAAGACACCAATATACAACCTTGGGACTAGACGTCGGAGATGATCCCCTGGCCAGAGACAAGACATACCAAATGCTAAGGCTTCCTTAGAATTCCAGCCTCACAGCACACATGCTTCTTTCTTTTGCAAAACTATTGTCACACGGATTGGGGGAGGAGGGAGTAGATATCCTCATTATTCATAATATCATAATCGCATATATCATATAACATGTATCATAATAACATCCCATTATTCAGCCCTCCTTCTTCTAAATTCTCAGGTCATCATTTTACATCTCGAGGACACACAGCTACAACAGAAATCTCACCTGTAACTAGCTTCACTGTGGAACCTTTCATGACTTCTTTGCCTATGACAGTACCAACTGTAACCAGGGCAAATACAAAACCATTCACTATTCCCACTACAGACAACAGTGTCACACCAAGAACTTCCTTTGAAAGTGTCAGTACATCCAGCACGACATCTGAAACCACATGTGATGAAGAAGTCTGCACTTGGTCTCCTTGGTTGGATGTCAGCCATCCAGGAACAGGAGCCAACAGTGGCGATTTTGATACTCTGGAGAACATCAGAGCAGAGGGTTACAGAGTGTGCAGATCGCCAAAGGAAGTAGAATGCAGGTCTGCAGAGTTCCCTGCTGTGCCATGGCAGGAGCTCAACCAAACTGTGAAGTGCAGCAGAGCCCAGGGTCTGATCTGTCACAATAAGGACCAGGTGTCTGGAAAATGTGACAACTACCAGATCAGAATTTTATGCTGTTTTTCTCAGCCGTGTACTCACCACAACGTCACAGCTCCCACAACAGAACCACATTCAGGAAGCACAGTTGCTCTCGGCACATCTATTTCAAGACCACCTACAACACCAGAACCCAAAGGAATCTCAGAGAGTCACCTGACCAAATCTACTCCCATTCCATCAACAAAGGAAACTCAGCCAATAACAAAACCCGCTCCTTCACCAGAGACACCAGGAACCAGCAGTCACTCTCCTGATGTGACAACTACGTTGGTGACAAAGGTAACTGCGACAACTCGATGTTTACAAAAAGTCTGTGAATGGACAACTTGGATAGATGGGAGTTATCCTAAGTCAAATATAAATGGGGGAGATTTTGATACTTTTAAGAATTTAAGAGCAAAAGGCTACAAATTTTGTGAAGTGCCTACAGCAGTGGAATGCAGAGCTCAAAGCTTCCCCAACACACCTTTGAATGA